CTTTCCTGTGGAGACAAAAAACAGAAAACGGGAGCAACTTTACTTTTTGGGTTTAGACCATGAAAGCAGGATGTGTTTTGGGGAAGAACAGATGAACAACTGCAAGAGTCTGTTGCTTCCCTCCTGGCATTTGTCATTTGCCCTTGTGAATCACATTTGTGCATAAAAATCAGCTAATAAGTGAAACGTGACACTGTAGGGCTGAGCACGTTCAGCAGATAAATATTGATTATTTGAGTGTTCCAGTGTATGAAATCCAGCCTGAGCGCAGACCGGGTGGAGAAAATAAAGAGCTAAAAGGAAACATATTCTGCTTAAAACACTGCTAAAAAGGCTAATTAAAATATAAACACAGATCAAACACGTCCTCATGGTTCTAGGATCAAACCCACTTCAACCTAATTGGCATTGGAGATGGTCATGGATTAACTGGAGCTCTCCGGCTCACATCTCTAATGCTGACTGAGCTGCGCAGAGAGAATATAACATTTAATCTTTTCCTCGTGTGATTTTAGTCAAATTCACATAATAAAAGTTTATCCGTCTTAATGAGAAACACACAAATGACATGTAGATGTGGACAGTGACATCAAAGGTCACCAGTGTTTCCGTCTGAGGAGAGGAGCAGTTTAATGGAGAGGATCTTGGCAACAGGTCTGGGCGTGCACCGACACACCAACACGCCAACATCAGAAACTACCAACCAAACAATGATCACATCAAAGACAAAGACCACAGCTACTTACACACCCACACGTATGTTATTTAATAACAGAAAATTTCCATTAAATAAACTCATGAGTACTCATCAGAGAAAAGATAACGAAGGGCTCAAACTGTGTCATGAGACGCTCAGATTGAGGATATGTCGAATAAAATTGTTGTGTATTTGTTTGTTTTTTTGTCTCCTGTCTTCTTTTAAATTGCCTCCTGGGGACAAATAAAGTTTATCGAATTGAACTGAATTGAAATTAAGTTTATTTTTGGAAGGACAGAAACAGCCACAATATTACATGGTACAAACTGTAGTATCGGATCACAGTATTAAGAGGAGGCAAAAAGAAAAAAGAAAAATCTAATTTCTAGACCATAAAGTTCAGTTTTTATTCCTGGAGTAAATCCTGCTTTCCTTTTCAAACTCTTTTATTGTGAAAAGCTTTCCAGAAATGTATCTCACAGCTGATAAAATTGAACGACCTAAACTTGTGATGGATATTTGAGCTGAAGTACCAACTCTATTGGTAACGCCTCACTGCTCCGCTTACTGGAATACGCCTGTTTCACAGCATTCTGCCTAGCACTGGCAGGAAAAGCACAGGTGTAACTAATAACATCAATGTTGGCCGCATTCCTACTCACATAGTCACAGCTGAGAAAGACACCATGTTACCATCAATGCACTGGGCCATCACAAATTACTTAACCACAGTATCCTGGAGGCAAAGCATGACAGAGTAAATCATCACCACTACATCTATTCGTTTCTACAGCTGAATGTAGGAGCCAACACCTGCATGACTTCATTACCCTGCACAAGATCGACAACACTGATGAGGATGTTATCACCTCACAGCATTAAACAAGCTCTCAGGTGTTAACTGCTGCAGAGATAACTGCCTGTGACCTGCCTGTGTTCACCCTGTGACCTCCCATCGCATCCCTATTATCCAGCGTTGTAGAGGTGAACACAATAAGACACCGCCTGCAGCCTCGACTCAGCTGCCGCAACTCAGTGAATCAATGATGAGCGGAGGGAGGGCCTGTAGTGTTGATCCACTACCAGGTTCTTTTACCTTTAATGTTCCCTTACACAATATTCTATGTAAAACATGAGGCTGTAACTACACACAACCTCTTCAGTCACTCACATCTGACACATCTGGCTGATACCAGACCCCTGTAATAGTAATATTGTCATAGGCTTGTCTTTAAAAATGCTATAATTACAATTTTACCACAACAGTTACTCATGAGTATCATATATATATTGTTCTTGAACAATAACAGAATTTTATAACTTTTAAAGTTTATAACAACAGTAAAATCTTTCATATGAAACAGTCACATCCAGCCCGTGTTACACTACACTACACTCATTTCTTACTTTGTTTGAGCAGCAGGTAAAAAAAAGAAAAAGCAAAGACGTGCAACTTATAAAAGAGAGAGAAGAAAGTTTTCATGCTCTGTCCTCCTAAAAGCATTTCAGTCGTACTACTCAAATAAACAGGGAATTTGCCAGTTTGTGCAACAAATATTGACACTGCTGGTATAGTATTAAAACTTCCTGTTGCTGTTATATACACTGTATTCACACTTGCTTTTGATTGTAATATGATTTACAGCAACAGTGTAAAGGGCAAATTAGAAAAAGGTTAACTATTGACTGTGAGTATAAAACAGTTTGGCAGTGCACAGTGTTAAAAATGGGGGGAGCATGGGGTGATGAAGAAACAGTATTTAATGTGAATTAGTCACATCTGGTCATGTGTCACATCTGGCCCAGACCGATCCCTCTACCAATGCAACTTTTAATTATATTGTTCTTAAACAATAACAGAATTGTAAAACTTTGAGTTCATAACAACAGTAACACTTTTCATGTGAAACAGTCACATGCAGCCCATACGTGATCTCTGTTATAAGGTCATTATAAAGTATAGGCACCAAAATCTTCTTTCATTACACTCATTTCTTACTTTGCTTGAACAGCAGGTAAAAAAAAAGCAAAGACATACAACTTGTAACATAAAAGAGAGAAAAGAAACTTATATAACTCAAAATAAAAATTACACTCGAGTATTTTTGTGAACAGGGAATTTGCCAGTTTGTGCACCAAATATTGACACTGCTGTTAGGCTGTAGCGAAACACGAATGTGAGAACATCTGTCCATCTTCCTGTTGCTGTCATATACTCGGTATTCACTCTTGCTTTTGGTTGTAATATGCTTTACAGCGACGGTGGAAAGCGCAAAATTAGAAAAAGGTTCACTACTGACTGTATAAAAAGTATAAAAAGTTTGGCAGTGCAGTGTTAAAAAATGGGGGGAGCAGCTTGTCCACGAAAAGGCGCTGAAATGTCAGTACCGCGTGAAATGACGTTAGCAGTGTTCTCCGGTGCGTTTACTTGCAGTAAGAGTTAGCTATCGCCTCTGCCAACGTAAAGACTTCACAAAACATAAATAGCAACGCTGCTTTAGCGTGTTGTTTCGGGGGAGGGGGGGGGGGGTAGGTACGGTAGGGGGGGTGGGGGGGGAGTAGGGGGAGGAGGGAGAGGAGGAAGGGGGGGCCGTTGGTGAGTGAGTGAGTGCGTTACATGAAAACAAAAACACAGAAACACGGGTTAACGCTTCGGGGAGGTTCAAATCTAACGCCCCGTTTCACACACAACTCGGTCGTGTGCCGTGAAAATGCATCCGGTGCTCAGTTTAACGGCAGTATAAACAATAACGTTCACGGTTATCTTACCCGTCTTTGCGCTTAGCCTTATAAACGTGCCCGTAGGTGCCTCGACCCACTTTGCAACCTTCATATTCGAACAGATCTTCTACTCTCTCTCTCTCTGCCGCCAGCTTTGTTTTGAAGTCGTAATCCATTTTAACCCATAAATACGTCTTAATTTACAATAAAATAAAATATTAATTATTACATGCATTAATTAAATAATCTGGTCGTTTTATTCCCCCACCATTTCCTTGTTTGGGATTTTGGTCTGCTCCGCTTAATGTTCACTGGCTCGTTGACGTTTCTAATTGGCGCGCAGTGCTCGCTGGGTAGCGTAGTTCTTCCCGGCAGGCGCCGCGGTTTGCCTGCTCGAAAGCCGAGATGTAAGAAACTACAACCCGCGTTTCTCTCTGCGGTTTGTTGCACTTTGCGTACTCATGAACGCTCTTCAAAAAGGCAGGCATCCGTGGTTTGGATTTCATGGTGTACGGACGTTATAGTCTGTTTACATATTTAGAAATACTTTAATAATCTCCGAACCTGTCAGTGGCGGTAATTTTATAATTCCATGGCATACACCCCAATCATTATCAAGAAAGTATAACAAATACATTAGGTCCTCACATAAAAATATAAATAAAGGTTTCTCTAAAAATACTGTTGTCTTTTATTGTCATATAAGGTGTAAATAGACACCCAATTCAACTGCCCTCTTGACCCCTTCATTTGATGATGATGATGATTATTATTATTGTTATTATTATTATTATTATTATTATTATTATTATTAATAGTAGTAGTAGTAGTAGTAGTATTGTTTTTCAGTATGGAAATTTACAAGAGTAGAATCTATTATTATTGTTTTATTATTATATTATTAACATGTGGTTGCTAAGTGGAGTTACCTGACTTGTGCACTTACTGTGGTACTATATAATCGATAAAATGCAACCACTTTTTTCCCCTCTCCTGCAACCGCCTTAACGGGTTAATTTTATAATATAACTTTTCATTATATGTGTAGTAATATTATTTGAACGTATAGAATACAGGAAAAGGTTTGTATTTGTTTAAGTCAGCATGATGCACAAATAATAAATTAATGCATTACGGTCATGTACGTGGTAGGAATAATATTTACGAACATGTAATCCATATGTACATAAGCAAAACATATGACACAGAAGACAGAAATTTGCCTTAACCATATTAGGACTCTAAATTGCAATATTTATGTGACAAATGTGTAACATTGTCTCATATATTCAAAAAGGGACTTAGATTAAAACAAAACTATTGTGATATTATTACATTATCCTTCTAAAATGTAGTTTGAGCAACTGTATTTCTAATATTTTGTACGCTACGTGTAGGCTGTAAAAAGGCATGTGAGAAAAACCCCTGTTTTGCAATGATTGACAGGTGCCCGGACCAATCGGATGTCACAAGATTGAGTCTGGTAAACGGATTGGCTGAACGCAAAAGTGACGTAGCTGGCTGGCGCACATAAAACCACCGCGCCACCTCCATTCAGTGGTCTACACAGTATGGCCGGCGATATTAGCTAGCACTCGCTAACGGTATTCTCTGTAAAAGGGAAGACGGTAACTCAAGAAAATCAACACCTGAATTACTTAAAGGACTGTACCTCAATAAATTATAACTGATCGAGGAAGGATTAATTAAGCTGTAAACGTTACAACCGACGTTTGATATTTTTGTTGGGTGTCTGTTGTCTCATGATGGAAGATAACACTGCACATTTCTTCGAGGGGACCGAGAAGCTGTTGGAGGTGTGGTTCTCTCGGCAGGATGAGACCAAAGGAACCGGGGACCTCCGTACCATCCCAAGGTTTGTGTCATTTGAATGTCTCCGCTGCCCTGTCAGTCCTCGGCAGCATATTGAAACGTCGGCCACAGGCATGGCTTCCGTCTCTCTGATCATTCGTGACATTTAACCAGCTAAATGTGGTAAAATATTGTTCTCTAGAGGCAGTGTATTCTCTATAATCACCAGTTCATCCTTAGTTAGTTAACTAGCTAGCTATAAAGGGGATCATATTCTGACACCAGAGCACATTACTGGTAAGCTAGCTAACGCCGTCACTCGAAAATGGCCACCTCCCCCTTTAACAGTGCCACTTCCAAGCTGAGTCATTCATTCTTCACCCAGGAATTTTGTGGCAGTTTAACATTTTGGTACATTAACGTGAACTCTCGCTCTCTCTCTGCTATGGTGAGCTATAGCCCGGCGGTTTTAAAGCTTTAAAACCGTCTTGATAGCAAGTTGGCAAAACAAATTTACAGCTAGCTAACTCTAGCTAGTTCCTGGGAGAAAATGCTGAAATATTCAGCTGTCTCATGCTGTTCTCTTGCTCACAGGCCCTGTTGTATCTTTTGTATTGATCTTATCTTTTTATTAGTGTAATATCAGTAAACTTTGATGCCCACATTAGGCGGGCTTGATCCTTTTTTCTTTTTCTTTTTTTTCACCCCTATCGGTGCGCACACGTTTTATTACCCCCGCATTGGTTTTGGGACGTCGTTAGCTTAAATTACACCAGTGTAATAAACTATACTACTCAATATGACTCACACAGTCAGACGGCGGTTGATAAAACCGTGTTGTGTGTTTTTGTTTAGCTGTAAATGGGGGAGTTTTTTTTTTTTTTTCTGCGTCATTCAACAACGAGGGGGCCTCATTGAAGATGTCAAGCATGTGGTCGCCCGCCGTCACCGCGTGCTATCTCGGCTGCTGCAACACGGACACACATACACACACACACACACACACATCCAGGACACTGATCGCTGGTCAATCAGATTGAATTTGTTTTGCATTTCAGAGAGGGGGTGCTTGTGGCTGTGGTGGCTGGGAAGAGTGGATCTCAAACACTCCTGTGTGAATTTACATGACTAATGTGAGAGACCAGTATATTCTGGGATGGGATGCGATGACTCGTGGAGAGGTGCTCCTTTTTTTTATGTTTAGACTTCACTCACTCACTCACTCACTCACATGGCAGTCCCTAGGGTTGCTTCTGCGACTAAATTTGCCTATAGTCCTTGTTCCGGTCACGTTTCCATCCATGCAGGCGCTCCCCTCCCAGCTCCTCTGATTGGTTAGAGGGTCTCCCTACTCTGATTTGCTGTGAAGAGATGGGCATTCAAAGAAAAGGGATATGTCAGGGTAATGGGATGGTCGCAGAAATGGATGTGAATGGTCAAAAAGGACTGTTGACCTTTGCCCCTGTTCAACGCCACAAAATCTATTTGTCACTGTGCCTTAAGGGAGCTGGTACCATGTAGAACAAAGTTGAATTAATGGATTAAACTGGTGTAGTTGAGCCGTGTCACTGTTTGGTGCTGAATAAAATGTCGGTTGAGGTAGTTTAATGAGGGCTGGTATTTATTCTTTAGTATGAGACTTGAGCAACTGGAGGTGTGGCAGTAGTTTCAACAGAAGAATGATTTACAATGACATCAGCTGGTTAGAAATTATCACCATCCCACACTCTCTTTCATGGGTGTAATAACCTGTCATCTACATTTTCTCTTCAGTCCAAGTTTACCGCCTGCCACTTTGTTCTTTCACCTGTTATTGCAGCAGTGCATTACTGAGTGATAACCTGTGGCGAGTTTTCAAGGCCAAATCGGCCGGTGCTGTGAGTGACTTTCCCCGTCATTAACCAGATCACTGAGGTCAGTTTAAGAAAGATGGGTGAAATAGGTTTGGCGTTAATGTACAGCCGTAGGGCAGATTAAAGGCTCAGAGTGACACTGTTGGTGAATCAGGCTCGCTGGATGTCAGCCAATGTCCAAATAAGTCCACAAGGGCATCTGATTCACAAATGTGGAGCTCACTCACATTACCCTCCGCTGTGCCTGCCTCAGGACTGGACGGCAGCTCAGACTGTCAAACAACTAGTCCTGAGGGCCAATCTGTTACACATCTACACGCTTCAACATGTGGTTTTCCCTTCCCACATGGCTTGGCAGCTTAAAAAAAAAAAAGTTTTGCAGTTGTTATTACTATTTGTCAGTTAATCAGTTTTATCATTTGTTTTTTTTTTTTTGTCACTACTCCCTTCTTTTTTTTTTTTTTTAGTTTGTTGTCAAATATAAGCAAAGTTCCAGGATCTGTGTCACCTCGGTTAACCACAGATCTCTGTTGTAGTAATTAGCAGCCAGATCTGGGCCTTTTCCTGGAGACTGTGCTTTCTTTGAGGAAAATCGGATCTTGCTGAGTGACCAGAAATAGCCTCTGGTGTGCGTTTCACACTGAAACAGGACCTGACCCAGGTCTCAAGTAACGCTGTCCCTCTGGTATGAACCTGGGAAGCTGGCATGTTGCAACACCTCAGGCCATTGTTTGTTTTTTGTCTCTTATTTTATTTTAAAGTTAATCATAAAATTCTAGTTGGATAAGTCATATCTGTGGTGCCTTACCCTGTTTATATAAAGCGGCAGGCCCTTTGTTTTTCAGTTCAGATGAAATGCTTGACCAAGGTAAGAATTAAATTCTACCAAGGTTTAAAAGTATAAACACATTCTGACGCTTGGAATCTATAACTCTTATCAGTCTGGCACAGGCTTTTGCTTATTTGTACTTGGCCTGTTATAAGAATGAAAAGCAAAGAGAAAACAGAAGATAAAACTGTCTAAACTCACTATCAACAACCATTCTCGCATGTAGTTGTTAATAGCAGTGTGTTAAGACAACTGCTCAATAATAAACCATGATACTGTGCTAATGACACATCTTAATTGCAGCACAGAATATAAGCCATGGTGACTGGGGCTGTGTGTTGAATGTTGAACTTCAGGTTTTACAACATTTCAGAAATTCCAAAGATACCAATTAATTTCTCTGATTCCTCAGTTTGATGGTCCAGGTTAAGAAGTACAATGGTTTACGACTATAACGTCAGCCTGTTGGCTCTGGGCCTGCAGCCGACAAGATCATATTATGCCTTTCTTTATGGACGGCAAATTTAATTTGGCGAACCACAACCTACAAGCAGTGCAGATCGTGGTGTCGTACGTCGACAGTGTGAGGGTTTATTTAAGAAATGTTGTAGCTCAGAAACACTCAAAGGTTGGGTGATTTAATGTGTGTGTGCTTTACCAGGCCAAGGCCAAAATGAACTAACCAGAAGCTAGTCAGTATTCATGGCAGATGTCGTCTGACACTCAGCTCAGCAACTCAGGAGAATGGTGATCTATTGTTCAGTCAGTGTTTGCTATTCTTTAAAAAAAAAAAAAAAAAACCTGCTTTGTTTCCACATGAATTACTGAGTCTTTCATCCCCAACTGTCAGCCGATGTGGTTCCCTCTAATGTTGGACAAGTTGTGTGTAAAGGCTGCAGAGCGTTTTCTGTCAATGATTGTGAGGGAAACGTGTGGCACGATTTTTTTTTTCACAGTTAATCAACAACCAGTACTTGTGATAAAACGTGTCCTTTTCATCGCTGCTTCTCATCTTTTAAGATGGTATTTGTGTTAATCTTAATGATTTTTGTCTCCTCTGAGCCACGTGTAGTAACCCCCCTGCAGAGTTTTTGTTAGGTTGCTATGGGGATGGAGCAGGGCTGGCATGCAACATGGGTCCCAGGCCAGACTTGAACTGAGGAGTGTTGGTTACTTGCAGTATGTATCCTAGGCCGCCTGGTTAACCAGAGCCACCAGAATCTTAAAGAGCATCTATAGTTTGGTCTTTTCTCAGCCAGACGCATGTTAGAGATATGATGTTTGCTCGAGCAGTACTCTACAGTTTCAAACTAACTTTTTTTTTTGTGACATTCAGCATGTATTTATGTGCACATTAAAAGACATGAAGTGAATGATTTACTGTTGACACCTGCTGTTATTGCCGGTTCAAGGATCACAGACGTCCTCTCTCTGTTTGATCATGCAGCCCCCGTCTGTCTCTTGAGGTAAACTATGCAACGCTGGCTGCTGGTAAATTCCCTATTGAACGTTGCGCTCCTCGTGCTCTCTCTGTGCCGGGCCAGGCTGTGCTGTGCTTCCTACTACTGGACACATGAGCTCAGGCTGGCACTTCCAAGGTTGTAACGAGAGTGTGACGCAGCTGCATTTGCACTGCAGCTGTCTTTGAGTGGTGGTGGTGGTGGTGGTGGTGGTGGTGGTGGGAGGGCAGAGATGGCGGCGGTGGCGGCAGCAGCAGGAGCCTTCTTGTTGTCGGGGAGAGAGAGCTGGCTGTGTAGTCTGCCCCAGCCTATGATTTTCAGTCTGCCCAGGAACTGGGCCCAATATTCAAACAACACAAAGCTTTTCCTGCACACAGCAAGAGCCTGATTCCTGTCAGCCTGAACCCTTCCTTTAGTCCTGCATCGTAACATAAGGGTCTATTCTACATCCGTTTGAGATTTAGTGATTTTTCTTGGGTGTTACCTTTTTTTTTAAGCACCATAATATTCCTGAAACTGAATCCCTCCCTCTCTGTTATGAGTTCCTCTGCAGGGCATTACTGCAGAAGAGTGTGTGCTTAACTTATTAATAGAAAACAAGTCAAAACAAAAACAGATCTGCTCACTTTCTACTGCTTTGTTTTGCTGTTAACCAGCAAATGTTGTTTTTTTTTTCCTCTTTCCTGTCGCAACGAGCTAACCAGACCATTAACAAATAAATGAATGCCAAAATACTAATGGTTTTCTGTTTTCTTTTTTAGGTTTGAGTGGGACAAACTTTTGGAGAATGTGCATTGTTTGATCATAAGTGTGACAAAGACTGACAAGCAGGAAGCTTATATACTCAGGTGAGTGACCGGTCTTTACTTACATGATGTCTCCTCTGTTTCCCTACTGATTAGAAGGCAGACAGGATTAGACAGCGGTCACCTGTAAGCCGCTTGTCATTTATACTGCAGTCACTGTCTCAGGTGATGACCCAAGACACCTATAGGCGCATACATTATACATGTGTTATATCCAAAGGGGATGCAACAAGTGTAGAAGAAGAAAACCCTGCTTCAATAATATGTAAAGGGCCGAGTATAAACCTGGAGTCTGCTATGAGACAACAGTTATCAACAACTGAGAACTTTGTCACGCAACCAGGAAGTGATTTCACTTTTTGTTATCAAAGTCAAAACAGTGTTATTTATCATTAATTTTCCCCCTCTCCTGGAGTCTAATACAGACTTGGTAGGAACAAAACAAATATGAATTACGAATGAATAAATACATTATTTTATCATTTCTTAAAACCAACTTTTGTGTCGGATGAATGGGGATTTTACACCTTCAGGCAAATTTCAGTTCGGCTCCTCTTCCTTTTTTTTCTTCTCCATATTTCCAAGTGATAGATTCATTCCCTGGTAATTACATCTGACTCACAAGAAGTTCAACGGGGGCGTAAATGTTTGGAGTGTGTGTCGTAAGAGGGAATTTACTCCCTAATCTTGGAAATGTTGGCGCAGTGTTTGTTTCACAAATTCACCCACACAGGAACAAATGTTGCCTGTTAAGCTCCAAATACCGTCCCCTGCCCCCGGGCTTAGATTAAACCTGTTGTTCGCTCAGTGACACACGCTGTCCGTCTGATCTTTACATGTATATTTCAAAGGTTGGAACAGGACACAGGTTGACGGAGAATCACCTTTTAATCCTCCCTTGTGTAATAAATTACAGTGGCACATAAATACAATTCCACTACCGAAGCTTAACACACTTGTTGTTGTTTTTTTTTGTTTGTTTTTTTCCCCTCCACAGTGAGAGTAGCATGTTTGTCTCCAAGAGACGTTTCATTTTGAAGACATGCGGAACCACCCTCTTGCTGCAAGCACTGGTGCCTCTGCTGGAACTCGCCAGGGAGTACTGCGGCTTTGATGCCATCGAGGTAGGACGCCTGCAGTATTTACATATGTAAACACTGAAATTCAAAACATCATCATTTGTGCTGGTCTTATGACGCCTGCGGCTGAAGCGCCGATCTGACCCCGGTTTTCTTTTTCAGAACTTCTTCTACTCCCGCAAGAATTTTATGAAGCCGACCCATCAAGAGTTCCCTCATCGAAACTTCCAGGAGGAAGTGGACTTTCTCAGCGAGATTTTCCCAAGTATGTAACACACCTGTTTTTACGTCATTGTTGTTTCCCCCCTCTTTAAAAAAACCCACACAGACAGAGGATATCTGCAGGTCTTCAAAAGCCATAAAAAGCATTGATTGGTTTCCTCAAAAAGGTTTTAGAAGTTTAAAAAAATAGTATTTTTTGTTGAATATTTAAGGCAGTAAAAGTGGTAAAATGTTTTTGTCAATTTAGCAAAAACTTGTTTAATCCATACATCCATTCATTTCCTGCTCCTTATTGGGCCCAGGTCATGTAGTACTAACAACATTCTCAGTAAATTCATGCACCTTGTAGATAATTCTGAGATTTTAAATATAATTAAAAAGGTCTTAAATTAAACGGAGAAATGATGCAGTGCCTCTTTTTATTTGCTCTCTAGCACATCTGTTGTTGTGTCTGTGAAGGCTGAAGAAATCGCCCTGACCTTTTAGAAAGTCATCAGACGATTCAATTTCATATTTCAGATGTTTTTCTAGCTCTAATTTCGACTGAAACAATCCTCTTTTCTTTTTGCTTCCTCCAGATGGTGCAGCCTACTGTATGGGGCGTTTGAACTCTGACTGCTGGTAAGCATTGTGCAGTTTCCTGTACTGGTTGACAATTTATATTCTTTATTTGGATCCCTGTTATCTTCCACCACAGCGCTTGCTAATCTTAGAGTATTTAGCTTCTGATTTGTTTCACATGTGTTGGTAGTGAGTTCCACTGGCTGGACGCTCTGTAAATGTAAATGACAGAGTTTTTAAGTTGATGTGATTTTGTCTGACCTGTGTGTTCGACCTGTCTCTACTAATGGAACAATTAGTCCGGCTTTCTGTCTACAATTGGATTACGGACAAATGTGAGAAGGCTGAGTGTTAGTCCACACGGTGCTGCTAATGTCAGAGGTTGCACACACCGATTTTAATAATTTCATCCTTTTTTAAAATATCTTTCTCTTTGAATAAGCAACATATGAAAAGGCAGCGAGTTTCCAGCTGACAGTCTTCTGTGTTGTTGTAGCAGCGTTTCAGCCTCAGCAGGATGTTGCTGCATGACATTTAGATTCTCAGCACAGATAATTATAAGTTTGCTCGGAGCCTCTTCTACAGTATGTGTGTTATTAACCCAGTGTATCCTCTGTATTTGATAAACAACCATTCACTGTGTGTCACCCGCAGGTACCTGTTTACCTTGGACTTACCAGAGTACTGGGAAAACAAGCATGCAGATCAGACACTGGAAGTTCTGATGAGCGACCTTGATCCAGCCATTATGGACCAGTTCTATATGAAAGATGGTGTTTCTGCAAGTGATGTCACTCGTGTGAGTAGATCTCACCATCAACACATGTGTTTATTCGTCAGCGGCTGCTGGTGAGTTGATGCTGACGGTTTCTTCTTCTTCTTCTCGTCCCGTTACAGATGAGTGGAATTCGTGACCTGATACCAGGTTCTGTGATCGATGCCACAATGTTCAACCCTTGTGGATATTCAATGAATGGAATGAAGACTGACGTGAGTGTCTCTTCGTTGTTCTCTCGTTTCCACGTCGTGCTTGAAGGTTCTTGAACGTGTCGTTAACGTGGCTCTGCTGCTTGTTGTTGTTGTTGTTGTCGTCGTCCTCCTCTGCAGGGAACTTACTGGACCATCCACATCACCCCTGAGCCGGAGTTCTCCTACGTCAGCTTCGAAACCAACCTCTCCCAGACGTCGTACGATGATCTGGTTAGGAAGGTGGTGGAGGTGTTCAAGCCAGGAAAATTTGTGACTACCCTTTTTGTCAATCAGGTATGAATAAAACACAACCTTGTTTTGTTTTTGTTTTTGTTTTTTTCTACTTCCTGTGATTTTAATGAGAAGTGTCGGTGAGTAAATCCTCCTCCTTCCTTCTGTGTGCCCCTGCAGAGCTCCAAATGTCGCAGTGTCTTTTCTTCTGCCCAGAAACTCGAGGGCTACAAGCGTCTCGACCGCCAGTTGGCTCAGTTCAACGACTACAATTTTGTCTTCACAAGTTACGCCAAGAATCGCCAGCAGAACCAGCAGAGCTGAGGGTTGAGGATGAAGAAGAGGCGTAAAAAGAAAGGCGGCCGCCCGGGGCTCACCCCCTGTATCCGGCTTTACCCCCCAGTAGAGAGCTTCTCGTCCTCCCCCTCCCCTTCCTCCTCCTCCTCATCCTCCTCCCTCCTCCCTCCCTCCTCCTTCTGCTGCTGCTGCCGTGGTTCAGGACCTCCCGGTGCTGACGCGGTTGCGAGCCCTAGCTTAACCTCCAGTTTGAGTTGTTTGCATTGTACCTGTGACTTAGATCTCTTGCATGAAAGCTCTTTTCTCTGTTTCGATATTCTAGCTCACTCTTGCTGTGATCTTGAAGTGCATGTAGAGGAATTAAACACGCTCCGTTTGAGGCTGTCCACCTGTGCCCAGTACAACGGTCCCTTCCTGCAGGTCTCCCCCCTCATCCCCCACAGACAAGGCTTCCGCCCGCACTAGGCCAGGGCCCTGACATGCTCAGATCCGTCTGCCTCTTTATGAGCTCCACTCAGTTTGTCGTTTTTTTTTTTTTTTCTCTTAAATTTCAAATTCAACCCGGACGTGTCGCTTTCCAACGTGACAATTGGTATCAATGAATCACTACCAATTATTGAGTGCACTTTAAAAACCTGTTTACTCATGGTACAAAGATGAGGCCAACCTATTGTCTCCAGTCGTATTGAATGTATAAATCGTGGTAAGCTTTTGGCCGTTCTTATCGTCGTTGAATATATTTGAGTTTCTTTGAAAACAAATCGCCATACTAACTGTTTAATGTCACACTATTGGATAAAGGGTTTGCAGCATTAGACAGTGTGGTCTTTGGTTGCTGTGAACTGCACTAGAGATTGCACTAAGATTTCTGCTTTGCTGGGCTTTGCTCAAATTGAATCCCGACTCCATTCATTCATTCATTCATTCATTCATTCATTCGTGTTCCTCCACCTGGACAATCATATAGTCCTTGTGTTTACTCAAACACATGAGCCTAGAAAATGTGTGTGTGTGTGTGTGCGCACATGTATGAATCATTTAAGACATTCAGTATGTGCACTTTGTTGCGCCCAGGCTTCTTTGTTTTACAGTGTGCTGTATCTAGAAGAAGCTTCTGGGTCCCAGTCATAATCAGCACTCGTGATTTTCCACATTCACTTGAATTGGTTAAATGGAAAATGTTCAAACTGAATGTAGCGCAGCTGGTGTGAAGTGGCCTGTCCACCCGTCTTTCGAATGTACACGTCTCTAGAGAAAAGCCTGGACCAGGTTTGAGCTGAATGTACGACTCCAGGAGAGCGCTCCCTCCCTCCCCCCCTCCCTCCTCCCCCCCTCGCCTTTCACATCACACACACACACACACACACACACACACACACACACACAGAGCGCTCACAATGCCCTCTGCTGACCAGCCATTGTCCAGCTCCCAGCAGGTCTCCCCCCTGCCAGAGTCAGACTGTCAGCTGGCCCCAGAACCGTGACATAACGGGAGTCGACCCTCCTGGCTGTGCCCGCGCCCCGTTCTGAATGGGAAATAATGAATCAGACCCTTTTTGCTAAGTTGCCCAGCAAAGCATTTTTCTTTTTCCCACATAATATCCATCCTCTCTCTGTCTCTTTCCGCCCCATACAGAAATCTGTAAACGCACAATAGAGGCCCACCAGTCTGAGCATGCCAGGGTGATCCCGGATCATTCCACATGTAACTGCTGCATAAACTGCCATTTTATTAAATTTATTGTGTCCAGACATTTTTTGCAGTGAATTGGTCGAAAATGTGACTCCCTAGCAGTTTTTTTTTTTTTTTTTTTTTTTTTCTTTTTCTTTTTGTTTGGATCAGTGCCCTTTGTTCACCGAGGGGGAAAATCCTGTGACACTATGGTGCATGTGACTACTAGTGCCGTGTTGCTTGACAGTGTAGTGTAGCGCCGTCTCTTCCTCCTTTTTCGTCAGTAGGTCTGTGTGCTTCACCTTCCTCTCGTTTTTTAACCAGCTGAAAGCAGAGCTGGAACTGCCGCATCCTGATGTGTTTTTGGGTAGGCGGGGACTCATCTTTTTCCTCAAGGGGTCGGGTTAACTTGTAATTAATCTTATTTCAAGTTGTTCAAGTGCTGAAAGCAGGTTCGGTTTCTTATTTACTACTTCATGTCAAACATCCAAGGTTTGTCTTCTCGGCCTGCCGTTCGGTTGAGTGGTGTTCACGGTGCTTCTCCTGCCAGAGAATGCAGTTTTGAATTTTGAACTGGAGACGACATGGCGGGAGTCCTAACCTGCTTTCAGCCCTGCAGTGCAGTATGCTCTGTTCTTAGAAATACCTGTGTTGATTGCATCAACACCTCCGACAGTGCACCGATCACCTAAAGCACTTGGCGCGCCGGTTGCAACAGTTCATGTAAGAACTGGCACTTGGAATAGTTTCCCTCTAGTTTGTCTCACGGCTTTTTGGAGTGGTTTCATTCTTTTCCTGAGGACCAATCTCTGCTCTTACATGAACGACTCGACTTCCTGTCAGATGACTTGGGTGATCTGCCACAACTGTGGTGATTTTTTTGTTTTTGTTTTTTTGTTTTTTTTGAAGAATTTGAACTAGCACTGTTCAAATACTGAAGCAGTTTAATGCTAACTTCTTGGATTAAGTACATTTTAGCCTTGTTGGTGTGGATCATTGCAACTTTGTTTTATTTTTATACTATGAACTCAAAATGCATTTTTGCAGTTAAACAGTAATAGAATTTTATACAAAAAATATTTTGTATTTTTGCTGCGGACCAATCTTTTTTCTTTTTTCTTTTTTTTCTTTCCCCTATTTTTTTTTGTCTTTTTTGTTTTGTTGTGAAACAAGTGTTCAGACTAGTTTGTTATGAAGTTAAGGGATGACCTTTTTCAAAGTTGACTAAATCATGTAGTTTTTTTTTTTTTTTCTTTTTCTTTTATTCTTTCACTCTCCTTTCCTTTTATGAATCTCGTGAGAGGAAGGGAAAGTGGAAGCTTCCCCCGGGTGAGAGAGGGTGCAGTTGCAGGATGTATCAGGATGTACTGAAGGAGAAACCTTGCTGTTCTAATTCTTTCTTTTGCTGTTCTTTGGATGGTCAAGATGTGCTACATATATCTGTGCTCCGAGCTTGATGCTTAAATAAAGATACTTATCTGTGCAAATGCTGTGTTTCTTTATTTGAAGCCTTTTTTCCAGAACATTTTGGAGCAAAGATTGATATTAATATTATTTTTATTGACTTTGTAAGAAAATACAAAAGCACAAAACATACAGTTGAACCGAGGATGAGCCAATAAGTAAAAGAGACTGAATCTGCTGTAAGTGCGAGAGAAATTCAATATAAAGTCTAAATAATTTAAATAAGACATGATGACTCTTGTATTCTATTCTTTGACACATAATGAGCCATGTGGCTGTATGATGAACACGTGATCAGACTATGAGAGAGAGAGACAGATGAAAGAAGACCAATCAGATCCCAAGACTTCCTGACTCTCAGTCCCTAACCTTAGCTTCAAAATCAGAGGATCCCACAATGCAACTGGATAACATCTGTCATTAGACCTTCCCTGCCATGTGCAGTGTGACTTGGCCTTTTGTCCAATGACTAACGAGCTCAAGTATAAAAGTTCTAACGAAAAGTATAAAAAGTGAAAGTACTTGTTCTGCCCTATAATTGAGATATATACATATAACTAAGTGTAACTATATCTGCTTTATATACAGACAGGAACTTTAATCCAGTGATTTAGCCAACCTCAAGTGTGAATCTCCATGGTTTAGGTTTGGCCATGATAGTGACTCATACAGGTGTATTTATCCTAAATGACTGGTCAGTCAACAAAAAATGAAACTAAAAAACACAAAAATGCTGTTTCCATCTTCTCAGAGAGGATTTTTCTGCTCGATCACAGGAAACTGAGAAAAAGCCTCCCACTGTTTTCTCAAGGTTTTAAAAATAAACAGTCAGTCTATGAATAAATATTAATCTGCAGATTTATCCACAATGAAAACAATTGCTGCTTACGCATGAATGCATCATCTGATATGTCATAACAACCCCAGGGGCCGTTTTTCTGCATGTGCTTTTACATTTCTCACTATCCAGCAGAGTGACCCCTGTCACTTCATTTCCATGGGTTAGAACAGTCTACCAAGTGTATTCATCAAGCTGCTTTCAAAGAAATCCACACAGTCAGAGGTTCATTTTTTAAACAACTTATTAAACAACACTCTTCATCCTGCCACACAGTGAGTCAGTGACGGAGATAGAAATTTAGGGTTCAAAACTGCCTGTAAGTTTTGTTGTACTGCTGGCAGGAGAATATAAACAGGTAGGGATTGTCTTATCCCTAAGATTCAATTCAATTCAACTTTATTTATATAGCGCAAAATCATAACAAACATTATCTAAATGTTTATCATTTATGTTTATTATTTATGACAATATTATAGAGAGAAACCAACAGTATTGATTCAGTAAAGCAATAAAAATAGTAGAAACTTGTAAAGCCTTAAATATCTTTCCTTTAATAGCTTTGTTTTGTATGTTTGGTTTTGTCCTTTTGTCCTTCTGAAATGCTTTTTAAAATTTTTTTTTTTACTATTTTTGTTTCATTGTTTCATCATACTTATTTATATGTTGCATTTATTTCCTTTAATAGTATTTCTTTTATTTGTATTGTTCATATTTTACTATGCATCTTATTGCAGAAGATATTGTTGATTCGTCGACTTTCAATACTTAATTGTTTTAATGTGATAAAATGGAAAATGTTTTGTACAATAAAGCATTTGAAATTTTTTTTAAAAAAAAGCTCTGCGAGGGTCAGTCTAGTTTTCTGGTTTTGGTCTGTAGCGCCCCTAGTGGACAGTCTGAGGATCCGGCTGCAATACGTACAGTCACGCCCACTTCGTGTTACGTCATACCGCTGCGCCTCCCGGTCTGGTGTGAAATGCGTTAGCTGCTGCACTAGATGGCGGCACTTGACTCGGAGCAGGATATCAACTACCGGAAAAGACCAAAGAAGAAGAAAAAACACCAATGTTGTCTTCCGCTGCTTCACTTCACGTGGGGGAACAGCACGAGCGTTTGATCCTCTGTCAGGACGAAGAATAAAGACACAAAATGACACAGTTAGACGGTATAGTGTAAGTTCACAGTTTACTGTCTCGGTCCTCTCCGCAATTAGCTTGATCGGTGTTAGCCTAGCATGCAGTTAGTGGTAGTAGTAGTCTAACATTAGCTTCGTGTATAGACAGACATACCTTTTACATTAGCAATGTGCCATATCTGTCAAGAAGAAGAATAAAGACACAAAATGACACAGTTAAATGGTGTAGTGTATGTTTACAGTTCACTGTCTCGGTCCTCTCCACGGTTAGCTTGTTCGGTGTTAGACTAGCATGCAGCGAGTAGTAGTAGTAGTAGTAGTCCAACATTAACTTTATTAGCATTAGCAGTGTGTCATCTCTTGTCTGTGTGATTCCTTAGAAAACCCAAGTCGAAGCGCTCCAAGCGGTTCTTGGAGAGCAGGGCGCCGAAGCTGACGGAGGATGTGAAGACTGCCATGATCATGAAAGGAGGGAACACCAGTCAGACCATCACCCAGGCGCTCAAGGACCTAGTAAGTGACCACTCAGTGAGGAAGACCACCAACACATGAACTGCTGTGAAGGTTTAATAACTCTCAATAAACCGCCTCTTGTATATTTCTGTTGCACAAGAGGTGGAGTTTAAAGAGCCAATCAGTGTATAAATCTGATATGAAACGACCAATATACAAATGAAATGAGTGAAATTTAGAGGCAGATTATAACAAGACACTGTCAGTCTTGTAATTCAGTGGATTTACACATGTGGTGTATCAAATGTTCATCCATGTAACAGCAGTTTCTCACCTGGGGGGCTCTTATACAAAATCTCTGAATTGCTAAAACACTAAAGACTATTCTTTGAACCCAACACTCAGTGGTCTGAACACATTTATTGAATCTATCACTCTTTTGGCAAAAGCATAAACAATTTTCCCCTCATTAGACACAAGTTTCAGGTCTCATTTGTGCACACGGTGGATTGTGATGCACTCCCGATTCAAAATGGTAAACAACAGGCAGCAGCAGATAAACACAAACAGATGTCATAGTTTAAACACATCAACTCAAAAGTGTTTACACTTTCTGCTAATGATGTGATGAAACTGAGTGCACAGGTTGATGAAGGTTGGAGTTTGAAAGAAACAATGGTGGAAAATAATCTGAGAGGTAGAGGAGGAAGAGCCAGAGCAAGAACAGTAATTTCAGATTAAATTCAAGTAACTGTAATACTGAAGTTTTACTGTGAAACTGTGAATATATGTTTTTAAAAACATAAAATGCATTTTCTCTATTATAAAGAGTAAATATTTCTGGAACTTTGAGCTTTGAACACACTTACTTTCATTTTTCTATGTAGAGTGTAACGAACGCTCAGTGGTGTTTTTATTTTGATGTGGGTGATGATTAATTTTGAAGAGTCAGAGGTTTGGTGAATGTAGTTTGACAACTGAGTCTTGTGTTTACAGTCTAAAGAAACGTATTTTACAGCAGTTGTGAAATACTGGATTCTTACTGTTGAGTCGTGATGTTTTGATGGAGGGATTTCTGCCTTTAAAAAGGAAGTCTGGAGTCTGGACAGTATTTTCAATATAAGAGGAGAGTGTTTTCTCACATAAATCATCAGACTGAATCAGTGGATTTCAACCTGTCTATTAAACCTATGCTGTGTTTGTGATTGAGCCTGAATGAACAATGATGACTCTTTGGTTCAATTGTGAATTCACATAATACAAATAATGTGTTTTCCTGCAGTATTCCCTGAAGAAACCCAATGCTGTGCTGTACAAGAAGTAAGTGATTTACAAATATATTGAATGTCACTTTAAGTTCTTTTGGACAAAACAGTGTCAACTTCATCACGTAGCTTTGCACTTTCCTGTTTCAAATAAGTAAAGTGCAAATAAAATCACAGCATTAGGTTCTTTTAAAATGATTAAGTTTTTATTTTATAAGTGTGTTACAAATGACTGATGTGATTGTTGACGTGACATTTGTCTTGTATCATCATGCAACATCACAAATGGTTTAATGTAACTAAAGTCAGCATTTTATTTTGACAGTCCTAATGCAAGTGGATGTTAATGTATTTGTTCACCGACAATATTTCCACTGAGTCTCAGAGGAAAATATCAACAGAGAATCGACAGTATTTTATTTTGACGTCCCATTTACAAAACATTTAATTGGTTTGCGGATAGAATAATTTATAAGGTGCAGAACAATGGGAATATTAACGAAATGAAAAGCATATGTTATAACCCACTGTCCCAAATAATCCAGCAGAATCTATACTGAATTGATCTTGGCCAATAGTTATCAATTCAAAGTTAAATAAAAAGTGTTAAGTGAAAAGTTCATCTGTGGTGGATAAAATCTGTGTTTCTGTTTCAGGAAGAACATAACTCGGCCATTTGAGGACTCAACATCGCTGGTACGTGTGTAGGAAACAGATGTTTCATTAGAATTGAATGTTTGTAACTGTTCACCAGGTGTATCACTGATCATGATGTCAACTCTTTATCTCAGGAGTTTTTCTCCAAGAAGACAGACTGTTCTCTGTTTCTGTTTGGCTCTCACAACAAGAAACGGCCCAACAACCTCATATTTGGTAAATTCTCTCTCTCTCAGTTTTTATTTGTTTTATTTTATAGGAACTTTTTATAAATTTTTTTACGTTATTTTACAGAAGAATACACAATACTGTGCCTGACCCAGAAATAGATTAAATAACAATAGAAATACTAAAATAAATGTTTCCTGTGGTTTATTTGCAGGTCGTCTGTTTGACTTCCACGTGCTCGATATGATTGAACTTGGGATCGAGAAGTTTGTCTCTCTGAGTGACATCAAGGTAATGGCTGTGGTTGTGCTAAATTTAAACACATTCCTTAACCGATCATTAAAGTAACATTAACGATCAATCAATCAATTAGTTATTTTAAAAAATAACACCATATGCGTTTTTAGTGCTCCACGCCGGCGACAGTCGGAGCCGGAGGCCATATTGTTCTCGGGTTGCCCGTCCGTAGGTCCGTTTCTTGTGGACGCGATATTTCAGGAAACACCTCGACAGAACGTCTTGAAATTTGGCACAGACTTTCGCTTGGACTACAGGAGGAACTGATTAGATTTTGGTGGCTAAAGGTGTAAGATCACAGTGACCGACGCAGTATCTCCTGAGCGTCTTGTGGTTAATTAGATTGTCTGTGTGATTAACAAAAGTAAACACAGTATTCTACAACACGTCATGTCAGCTGTCTGGCGTATCATTTGGTTATTTCTGACGTCTCTTACAAAGATACATCATGGCATTTTTTTATGTGACAAAAAAAAAAAAAATCATAACAGGCTGAACTGTTCTGTGCTACCATGTGTTGCTATGACAACCAAACCAGCTTGACGAAGGAAGGCCACAGTGACCCCTCGTCAGACAGAAGTATAAAAGTGACTTTATTCATTTGACAAAGCAGAAAAAACATCAGTTACTTCCACAGTTTCTTTGAACCATATACTCTCTACCTTGTTTTCCACTGACATCAACTGGGAGCCTCCTGAAGTCTGGTTTGTCTTTTCTGTTGCAGACCAGTAAGTGTCCCGAGGGGACGAAGCCCATGCTTGTGTTTGCAGGAGAGGCATTTGATATAGACAATGAGCACAAACGTCTGAAGAGTCTTCTCACAGGTAAACACTCGTGATTAAAGGTGTTGGAGATGAAAATGATGTGATTGGTCCACTCATATTGGCCCCTGTTTGATTCTCTGTTCAGACTTCTTCAGAGGCCCCACTGTGTCTGCAGTGCGTCTGGCAGGTTTAGAGCATGTGCTGCACTTCACTGCCCTGGACGGGAAAATATTCCTGCGCAGCTACAGGTACTGAAACTGAAATCTCTTGGTGTAAAATGAACTTGTCGCTCAGAAACTCACATTTGAACCCTTTGTAGAAATGGGCTTGAAGAACAAATAGAAGCTTGTTTATAGAGACATTGACGTAACGTGTAACTGCAGGTCTCTGTTGAAGAAGTCCGGCTGCCGGACGCCGCGGATAGAGCTGGAGGAGATCGGGCCGTCGTTTGACTTTGTCCTAAGAAGAACACACCTGGCTTCAGATGACTTGTACAAGTTGGCCCACAGACAGCCCAAGGCCCTGAAGGTAAAAATCATCTGGATAAAATAAAACTCATGAAATAAACAGGAGTTTTGTCACATTTCAGGTTAATGGCAAACAAAAAAAACAAACTATTGGAGAGTTGAAAAATGCAACGGCTGCTTTTCTGTTCTTAGATCAGGACTGTCAGTGGATTGAAAAGATCAGGTTTCTCCTCAAGGGGGCGCCAGATGAAAGGCCATGGTGTTGCCTGAATTTAAAAAAGTTTAACCTTTGTGCAGTTACCATGGTAACTGTGGTTCAAGCTACATACTAACATGAGCATTAAAACCCTTTAAACTCCACTGACCTTCCATTGAGCCAGTCAATACAAACTCCTGCTGTGCAGCCAAATATTACTGAACCCACAGAATAATAATCATAATGGTGATAATAAACGGTTAATAAAGGAGTTAGAAATGTAGCTCGGTCCTCGCTCATTAAGTGCTTTGTATAAAAGGAGGGCCTTAAAATCAATTCTTAATTTAAAAGGAGGCGAGTGAAGACTTGTTCAGGGTCACAGCTGAGCTGCAGAGTTTTGAATGAAAGAAGAAGGTTATTTTAACTTTTAGAGGAGTTTAAATCTACCAAATACTGAACTTTTAGCAAATGATCTAAAATTATGAACATTTCTGCCTGATGAAGTTGTGCAGCCATAAAATCCTGGAACTGTGGCTTTGAGCGGTTTGACGTAAATGTCGTATTGTTTCATTGGAAAGATGAGACAGGCCGATATAAGATACTGTCTGTGTGGAGTAAGCTACGACTGTCACACAGATAGATTGAAAATGAAATCTAATGGCACAAGAAAAAGCCACAAACCTGAAGATGTAACATCTGATTTTACAGAAACTTTAACAACTGAGAGGTTGAGGAGGATGCTGGGTGTCAGATGTCTGTTAGTTTCCTTGCCAGTGTTCAACGGACATGTTTGTTAATGCCCATGTTTTACACATTTTCAGGCCAAGAAGAAGAAGAACATTTCCCACGATGCCTTTGGTACCAAGTTCGGCCGGGTGCACATGCAGAAGCAGGATCTGTCCAAGCTGCAGACACGCAAGATGAAAGGCCTGAGGAAGAGGAAGGGGGAGGTGGTCGCCGAAGAGCAGGATGGACAGACATCCAAAGTGGCCAAAGTGGACAGCTGATGTCTGAGACAGACAGCTGGACTCATTCACCACCTGTGCGTGTCCATCCCTTTGTTTCTGAGACTGACCATGTGCTGATCATTACCAGCTTTTTACTGTTGGAGGGCCTCGGCATGATAGTGGCCACCAGGTCAGGATCCAGATCTATTACTTCTTGTCTTTCGTTTCAGCCGTGTGTTTTCCCCGTGTTACATTCAGATGCTTCTTTGTCTCGAGCGTTGTAAACGTGTCAGCTCTCGGCTTGTCTGGTAAACACAGTCAGTGTTGTCTATGTACTGAATTATCAACAGATTTCTTCGTTAATTTGAAGTGTGTAAGAAAAACAAAGAGATATTTTACTGGCAGCACTCGCTTTAAAGGAAATAAAACCTTCTAATCTTCCTGTTTTATCATTTAAAGTTTTTATTAATTAATTAAAATACACACAAACAGACATTATCATCTTTGGTTATGAGATATTCGAAAGTCTGTGATAAACTTTTCTTTCTTTTCCCAATGTTTATTTCCGTCCAGCATAAATAATTGGTCAGTAAACGCATCATGTGGAGCTTAGAAGGAGTAAAATAAAACCTGTGTATTATCTTATACTGAATACATTTCAATACATTTCCCCCTCAGCCTCCTTTTAATATATTTCTCAGTATTGGACAATATTTTTAACCATTCCTCGTCTCCAAGATCACACCTCAGGTCTTTGTGCCAAATGCTCCTCATATTTTTACAGATGTCTTTTTGTAAAACCACCAAGGTGCACCACACATCCTGTGAACCTCTCTCCAGACCGGTCTAGAAAGAACCAATACTGGGTTTGAAGAGAAATCATGTCTATTAGTGGTTGACATTTTCTTTATATTGATCCTTGGTCCCTTCTTGTCCCACAGGAAGTCCTTGATAATTCTATTAAATTGCTTAAACGACTGTGTTGGTTTACTAACAGGCAACATTATGGCTGTCTGAGCTTTCTGGACTGTTTTTACAGCTTTCATTTTTAAAACTGTGTTCACTGTTTTGACTTGTGGTTTTGCTCACGACCATTTTCTTCATAATGTCACAGATTATTTGTCTACATTGTTTGTCTTCCTTCAGTTTTGTTAATTGCTACAGGACCAATTTAACCGGTCTCCCTCTCTCTCTGGCTAATTTTTTAATAACAGTAATTAATACAAGATTCATTGCTTTCCATTAGTTATAATTGATTTAATGTTTCTGGGATTAACACTAACTACATGGTCACTTTGACTGAATGCACAGGGAGCACATCAGATTAGAGAGCAGTGATTTTTTTAATTTATTTATGTGAGCCATTTTAGCCTTTTAGGGATTTGGGATCAGTAGAAAGAGGCTTTGTCCATCATTTTAGAGGCTTAACATTAATGCTCCTTTCCTGAACTTTGGGGAAAACCACCTTTGTTTCTTTTAAATAATAAAATATAGGGACAAAATGTAAACAGAAAAAAAGTTTAAATGCAGGTATTAAGTCTTTAAGAGGGAAATACAGACAGTGACAAGTTAAAGGAAAAACCTGTAAAATGAGAGACAGGAAGACAACGCCTCCATCCACAGGTCACGAGGGTTCACTGATGAATCAGATGCTGTGGCCTTCACTGTCACCTGATCTCAACACCTATGGGAGGTTTTGGAGTGACATGTTCGACAGCGCTCTCCACCACCACCACCATCATCATCATCATCATCATCATCATCATCATCATCATCATCATCATCCCTCCAGCAGGTTTTCCAGAGACTTAGAGAATCGACACCAAGGAGCACTGAAGCTGTTGTGGTGGTACGTGGTGAAACAACAACTGACACAGACACTGTATGTTGGTTTTTCCTTTAATTTATCGCCTCTCTGTAGTTTGATTTGACACTGTGCAGAAAATCATTCAGTGTTTTCTAAAATGCAGAAATCTCAAAACACTAAGACCACAAGAGTTTGAGAGCTGAACACATGTTAACAGATTATTACCTACAGGATTATACCACTCTGTAATGGAATAGCACAACACTGGTCAACACAATCAGCATTAATACTAATGACGGTTGGAAATATATGGTGACGAAAAACAAATAATAATATTGAAAACATTAAAACAACACCTTTGCCCCTGTGGTTCATAATTAGTCAAGAATAACTCTTGAAAGTATTGTAATTTTATTTTAATTATGTATTAAATCCAATGTATGGGCAATAATGGCCACTCCTGTTTAAGATTATTTACCAAACTATTAAAAATCATATCTGTATCATCATAGCTTGTTTCACTAACTGCAACATTTAGCCACTATTTTTCTTCAAATTATTATTTTATATATCTTACTGTTTCTAACCATTTCTTTTAACTGGGGAGGTTCCAACTTTTTCCAGCACTTTATTTGCTAAAGAGCTTAATGATCCAAAATAGATATAATTCTTCCTTTTGCAGACTTTTTGGACGTGTTCCTAAAAGAATATTTTATTTTTCTAGATCCCCCACTTTCCTGAACTTCTGTTCTATAGTGTGTAAAATATCTGACCGGTTCGTTTGGATTTTTTTTACATGTATAAAACATGTCCATAATTTCCTCGCATTCACTCCAACAGCTGGAGTTCTTATTTGATTTATTCATAATTTGTATGTCTTGCCTACTAACCTATGGAAGTGATTATATTAAATAAAGTGGGGGTATGATATTAGGTTTTTGGAATATTTTTCTGGATTCTGATTTCTGTAGTTTTGTGCTCACCCCACAGATCCTGCTGCGTGACCGTGTTCTTGCTCAGCACTTTCTGTTTCAGTTTTAGCAGTTGGAAAGGGGAAGGAAGACCTTTTATTAATGTGAGGTAGGGTCGGGGGTGGGGGCAAACTGTAACGGAACTTCTATTTTCCTGTCATTGAAGGTGACACACATACAGATTTTTTTTTTTTTTAAATCCCAGTATGAGAGAGAAAAAAGTTTTCAGATAATGACACAATATATAACCAATAAACGGCACGTTAGTATTTTTTTTAACCTCAACAGGATGACATAATTGGTCGTGTGCAAGTGTGGAAACCATGGTAACAATCCGCCCCGCCCCTATGTCACTCTCTTCAAGTGACCCAGCGCTGAACCGACCAGACTGTTGGAGTAGTAGAAAGCTAGTTCAAAATGAATAAAAGTAATAGAAGTGGTTGTTTTAAACGCAAGCGAAAAAGAGAAAAAGAATTAAGAAGTGTGCCATCTATTCACACGTTCCTTGTCAAATGGAGCGAGTCTGACCCAGCGTTGAGGCGGGAAATCAATGAAGATGGCCGTCCTTACATTTGTGTCATTTGTGTTTTTAACTGTCTCGCGATGCATCGTTACATCCTACACAGGATGAAACATGATGATATCACTATCAAAAAGTTCTGGACTATTTATTTTCCTTTTACTTTAAGGCTTTTAACCAAGTTGTATTGTAATGATTACTTTTCATTTTCCTATGAGGTACACTGCTCTCCACAATGAAATAGTACTATTCCACATATGCCCTGTGCTATGTCTGATTTGTTAAAGAAAGAAAAAAGGCCTGACGTCAAAAAATGGGAGATTGTTTTAGATTTTGATTAACCTGTGCTGTTTGCATAGACTTTGTGCCCAGGAACCTCGGCATTTTTAATCCGGGCCTGGCTCGGGAGTTTGGCGGCGAAAAGGATGAAGACCTCCGCTTCAGGACAGGTGAGTGCGGGAGGTGCTGAGGTGGGGGCGGTTAGAGAGAGTCCCCACGTGAGGTCACGGCTAACGGTAGAGACGTTAGAGGGGAGTTAGAAACTGTTTTGTTAGCCTGATTAAAAAAATCGGTGTTATCCGTTAGCTACGAACAGTCAGTGGCCGGGAACTGAACCTGCTACTCACCCCCTTGTGCGCTAAAACATTTCAGTTGCCTCATTTCGCGCCTTTCTTATATCAGAATATGTAAAAAAAAAAAAAAAAAAGTTTCCCATTTAGCCAACAGTAAGTAAGCTAACTGCAGCTAGCATGTAGCCTAACACCTCTCTGTGTTTTCAGGCAAAGTAGCTCAGTGTGGTGGCGTTAATTCCCAATTGTGGTACTGAGTCTGTAACTGAAACTAAGGTGTGACAGCAGTTTAGAGTCTATACTGCTTGTGTGACAGGAAACGTGATGAAATGACAGGGATAGTTACAATAAGTGCACCAGTGTTCCTTATAAAAATGATTCACCCCTGCCATGAGTAAGCCAGTTCTGCAGAAAAATGAATCACCTCTGCCATGAGTAAATCAGTTCTGCTGTCACCAGTTTGTAACGTTATTTTGTCCCTTTTTAAATTAATTTGACTTTACTTTATCAGGCAGACTCTCTGCTATGCTTGTTATCGTCCAGGAAATAGAAAATGAAATAAAATGTTTGACAGTCTTTTTTTTTTTAAAGTCAGACAACACATGCACAATGAATATGAATGATGCAATAGTTTCCATGTTTCCTTTTTCTGAATTATTGCATCAGACATACAAAATAAGGCACTAAAGAAGTAATTTAGCAAACTGAAAATGGTACAATAAAAAAATATATATTTAAAAAAGAATATATTCTCTGATTCTTATGGTCCAGGAAATGGTAAATAAAATGTTTGACAGTCTTTTGTTTTTAAGTCAGACAACACATGCACAATGAATATGAATGATGCAATAGTTTCCATGTTTCCTTTTTTTAAATTATTACATCAGACATATAAAATAAGGCACTAAAGAAGTAGCTTAGCAAACTGAAAGTGGTACAGTAAAAAAATATATATATTTAAAAAATAATATATTCTCTGCTTCTTATGGTCCAGGAAATAGTAAATAAAATAAAATGTTTGAAGGTCTTTTTTTTTAAGTCAGACAACACATGCACAATGAATATGAATGATGCAATAGTTTCCATGTGTTATTTCTTTGAATTATTACATCAGACATATAAAATAAGGCACTAAAGAAGTAGCTTAACAAACTGAAAGTGGTACAGTAAAAAAATATATATTTAAAAAAAATAATACATATATTAATATTTTAAATTTGGAGCACAAAATGAAGGTTTTCACAGCTTTTCTATCACATGAGGTAGATAATGTTCTTATATCATTTTCACTAAGACCAAAGCAAAACATTTCATTGTTTTTAGTGTGTGTCTTCTGGTTTCATATTTTGAGATATACCAAAAAATGCCAAGCATACGCTAGTTGTGTATACTTGGCATTACCAAGCAGTAATGGAAAATGATCACCTGTTCATTGTCAACACACATATAAATGCCTGCAATCACAGTACTGAAGAGAGTGTGTAATGTCCCTCCAAAGCTCCATGCCTTAGAGGTCATCAGGTCAGTTTTGAGGGACTGTAGGCCCTTATATGTGTGTCATTGTTTCCTGTGGTTTATTTGCAGGTCGTCTGTTTGACTTCCACATCCTCGATATGATTGAACTTGGGATCAAGAAGTTGATCTCGCTGAGTGACATCAAGGTAACGGCTGTAGTTGTTCTGTTAACATTTAAATTCTGTAACTAATCATTGGTAACATTAACGATTAATCAAACAATATATCGTTATTTTAAAAAAATAACACCAAATGCGTTTTTATTCTTCCACGCCAGCGACAGTCAGAGCTGGAGGCCATATTGTTTTCGGGTTGCCCATCGATCCGTTTCTCATGGACACAATAGTTCAGAAACACCTCGTCCGAACTTCTTGAAATTTGGCACAAACATTTGCTTGGACTCAAGGATGAACTGATTAGATTTTGGGGGTCAAAAGTCAAGGTCACAGTGACCTCTTAGATCAGGACTGTCAGTGGATTGAAAATATCAGGTTTCTCCTCAATGGGGTGCCAGATGAAAGGCCATGATGTTGCCTGAATTTAAAAAGTTTAACCTCTGTGCAGTTACCATGGTAACTGTGGTTCAAGCTACATACTAACATGAGCATTAAAACCCTTTAAACTTCACTGACCTTCCATTCGTCTCCAAGATCACACCTCAGGTCTTTATGCCAAATGCTCCTCATATTTTTTACAGATGTCTTTTTGTAAAACCACCAAGGTGCACCACACATCCTGTGAACCTCTCTCCAGACCGGTCTAGAAAGAACCAATGCTGGGTTTGAAGAGAAATGACTGTGTTGGTTTACTAACGGGCAACATCATGGCCGCTTGCTCGCAACCATTTTCTTCATAATGTCACAGATTATTTGTCTACATTGTTTGTCTTCCTTCAGTTTTGTTAATTGCTACAGGACCAATTTAACCGGTCTCCCTCTCTCTCTGGCTAATTTTTTAATAATAAGTAATTAATACAAGATTCATTGCTTTTCATTAGTTATAATTGATTTAATATTTCTGGGATTAACACTAACTACGTGGTTACTTTGACTGAATGCACAGGGAGCACATCAGATTAGAGAGCAGTGATTTTTTAATTTATTTATGTGAGCCATTTTAGCCTTTTAGGGATTTGGGATCAGTAGAAAGAGGCTTTGTCCATCATTTTAGAGGCTTAACATTAATGCTCCTTTCCTGAACTTTGGGGAAAACCACCTTTGTTTCTTTTAAATGATAAAATATTATACGGACAAAATGTAAACAGAAAAAAAGTTTAAATGCAGGTATTAAGTCTTTAAGAGGGAAATACAGACAGTGACAAGTTAAAGGAAAAACCTGTAAAATGAGAAACAGTAAGACGCTTTCCATCCACAGGTCACGAGGGTTCACTGATGAATCAGATGCTGTGGCCTTCACTGTCACCTGATCTCAACACCTATGGGAGGTTTTGGAGTGACATGTTCGACAGCGCTCTCCACCACCACCACCATCACCACCATCATCATCATCATCCCTCCAGCAGGTTTTCCAGAGACTTAGAGAATCGACACCAAGGAGCACTGAAGCTGTTGTGGTGGTACGTGGTGAAACAACAACTGACACAGACACTGTATGTTGGTTTTTCCTTTAATTTATCACCTCTCTGTAGTTTGAGTTAAAATGTAGAAATCTCAAAACACTAAGACCACAAGAGTTTGAGAGCTGAACACATGTTAACAGATTATTACCTACAGGATTATACCACTCTGTAATGGAATAGCACAACACTGGTCAACACAATCAGCATTAATACTAATGACGGTTGGAAATATATGGTGACGAAAAACAAATAATAATATTGAAAACATTAAAACAACACCTTTGCCCCTCCCTTTCCTTAAGTAAAAAAATAAAAGCTATGAAATATATGAAAAAGAAAAAAAAACAGGTGACAAAGAGACATTATAATTCAGTATTAAAGAAAAGTGTGGTTCATAATTAGTCAAGAATAATAACTTTTCAATTATGTATTAAATCCAATGTATGGACAATAATGGCCACTCCTGTGTAAGATTATTAACCAAACTATTAAAAAGCATATCTGTATCATCATATATCATTTTTATATACTTTATTGTGTCAGTTAATGTCAATCAAACATTGTTATTTAAATATTTTGACACATACTTTTTGACCTTATAACTTTTTTTTCCCCTCACCCCAACCCAGAACACATGATCCGTCTGATGACATTTGTATCAATAATTAGACAACTAGCTTTGATTAATCTGAAGAGGGCCTGTCGTTCTTCCAGCTTCTTTTCATTATTATTGATTTTGTATGTTACCTTTTCCATATTATATATGTAAATAAATTAAATTATATATATATATATATATATCTTCTACTGTTTCTAACCACTTTTTTTAACTGGGGAGGTTCCAACTTTTTCCAGCACTTTGTTATTTGCTAAAGAGCTTAATGATCCAAAATAGATATAATTCTTCCTTTTGCAGACTTTTTGGACGTGTTCCTAAAAGAATATTTTATTTTTCTAGATCCCCCACTTTCCTGAACTTCTGTTGAAAAAAAAAAAATTGTCCATAATTTCATCACATTCACTCCAACAGCTGGAGTTCTTATTTGATTTATTCATAATTTGTATGTCTTGCCTACTAACCTATGGAAGTGATTATATTAAATAAAGTGTGAGTATAATATTAGGTTTTTGAAATATTTTTCTGGATTCCATGTCTTATGACTTCTGTAGTTTTGTGCTCACCCCATAGATCCTCCTGCGTGATCCGCCTGTGCTTGCCCGGCACTTTCTGTTTATTTTTAGTGCTGGAAAGGGGAAGTGAGACCTTTCATAACAGTGAGGGCGCAGGGAAGGGGGGGGTTACTTTAGCCTCCGCATACATAAGTATTTTATTACCAATCGTGCAAAACACATTGTGTATTGAAACAATATTTTGTCTATTTCAGTAAGTGTTTGTCATGGGGTCAATGACAGTGTCCAATCAGCTGCAGGATCCCCCGGAGCCCCGCCCCTCCGCGCTGTCTATTTATAATATTGCAACAGCAGCTTTAACAGTTACTGTAGGAACAGATGCTGCCTGACCACCAACACAGCTCCAACGACAGCTTCACTTCAATGGATGCAACTTCACCCAGACCTGAAAGCCACCACTGCTCAGACATACACTGTATCTGAACTTTTATTTTTCTGTCATTGAAAGAGACACAGATACAGATTTTTTCTTTAAAACAGAAAAAACAAAAAAACAAGCAGCACAAACACTGCTGTTGACTTTTTCCTCTTTAAAATTACCCAGATTTTAAAAAACAATGACAGAGGGAAACAACATGCCAGACGGTGAGGCAGCCAGTATGGATGAGACGCTCGATGCCGCCGTCGTACCCGCAGGAGGAGAGGGGGAGGAGGAGGAGAAGAAGGAGGCCTGGGACTCTAAAGTCGCAGTCCCGGAGCCGGCTCCGGCAGCGGAGGAGGAGGTCGAGTTTGTGCATCCCGAGGGCGGCTGGGGGTGGCTGGTCATGCTGGCTGCCATGTGGTGTAACGGCTCCGTGTTCGGGATCCAGAACGCCTTCGGTATCCTCTTCCAATCACTGCTCCGGGAGTTCGGCAGCGAGGAGGATGAAGACCTCCGCTTCAGGACAGGTGAGTGCGGGAGGGGGGGAGGTGGGGAGGTGGGGAGGTGGGGAGGTGGGGAGGTGGGGAGGTGGGGAGGTGGGGGCGGTCAGAGAGAGTCCCCACGTGAGGTCACTGCTAACGGTAGAGACGTTAGAGAGGAGTTATTCACTGTTTTGTTAGCCTGATTAAAAAACGCGGTTTTAACCGTTAGCTACGAACAGTTAGTGACCGGGAATTGAACCTGTGACCTTTGATACCGGTCGACCTCTCCACACGCACATCCTACTCACCCCTCATGCGCTAAAACATTTCAGTTGCGTCATTTCGCGCCTTTCTTACGTCAGAATATGTAAAAAATAGGTTTCCCATTCAGCTAACTGTAAGTAAGCTAACTGCAGCTAGCATGTAACGCGATCTGTGTTTCCTGTGAGAGAAGGGGAAAATGCATGGCAGAGACGTCACTCTGCATAAAGCAGCTGTGGTTGAGTCTGTGGGGAGATATAAGCAGTGTTGGCGGCAAAGTAACTCGGTGTGGTGGCGTTATTTTCCCAATTGTGGTACTGGGTTTGTGTCTGAAACTAGAGTTTGAAAGTGGTTTGCAGTTAAGAGTTGCCCATACTTTTCTATGACAGGAAACATGATGAAATTACAGAGAGAGTTTACTGCAGCTGCTCAACAATGAAATCACCAAATGATTCACCTCCCCCATAAGAAAATCAGTTCTATAGAAAACTGATTCATCTCCCCGGAAAGTGCTCTGCTTCTTATGGTTCAGTAAATAGAAAATAAAATGAAAATATTTAACAGTTTTTTAAGTCAGACAACACATACACAGTGAATATGAATGAAACAATCGTTTCCATGTTTCTTTTTTTTTTTATCATTACATCAGACATAAAGAATAAGGCACTGAAGAAGTAGCCTAACAAACTGACAGTGGTGCAGTAAAAATATATATTTAAAAAATAATATATATATACATTAATATTTTAAATTTGGAGCACAAAATGAAGGTTTTCACAGCTTTTCTACTACATGAGGTAGATAATGTTCTAATATAGGACTCTGCTTCCTTCTTAAGTGACAAAAAGAGGGTTTAGTTTTTAGCACCTTTCATTTATGGACATAAAACTTGGCCAGTAACATGAAAAATCCGATTTCTAAATCTCTTCTATAATTTGTAAAGCCAAACAATACATCCTTTAAGCAAAGTAGGAGTGTGTTCAAAAGTCGAAAAATTGATGGAAGACGATCACAAGTAGTTCGGAATAAGCGGAGGATATTTCTACTGTTTTTAGAGTTTCCACGTTTCTCTGTATTCACCTTAATGAAAAAGTTTGTCATGAAGTGGTTGCTGTAGATGGCAGAGTCAAGGAAGAGATCACATCGAAAAAATCTTGTGTGTGTGTGTGTGTGTGGGGGGGGGGGCTTAGACTTAGCCCATGAGTAATGACCATGTGTTGTTCTGCTGTGATTTTAACCACCTGTTGTTGGTGCCGCTGTTTAACAGATGAGCATATAAGAGTTTCACTGTTACTGTGTTGACTTAAAGGTTGTTTTTACAGACGAGTAAAAGAAAACCTGTCTGATCAATACCCATCCTATTCTGGTGATATCTTCTTTCTGATTTTTAAGGGAAAATGAATCAGATGTTCACACCAGTTCACACCCACTGACTGTGAGGTATGAACCTTTAGAAGTTCATTACGAAAGATGTTGAAGTAGAAGAAATGTTAATACTATAGATTTTTAGATTTATAGTTTGTCTTTCATCGATTTGAACTATTTTATTATTGCTGCTGTTACAGCTCTGTCTGACGATCATGTACAAACACACACACGCCACCTATTGCAAGTCACAAGTGATACCAAGCCCTGGGGCGCAGCTTTGGGTGCTAAAGATAACTACAGTCTAATAACAGAGGTCTTAATTCGTCATTTAATATTGAGTGCAGTTATATGACTACTGTTACTCCTCTTATCCCTTAAAAGCACAGCTTTAATCCTGTGAACCTTAGTTAGCATTTAAAAAAACCAAAAAAAAACTACCGTTCCATTACTTCCAAAAATATGAAAGTAAATGTAATAAAGAAGCAGGTTAGTCAGCTTCTACAGAGATGAAACAGAACAAACTGTGCCTTTGGAGCTGGTTCAAATTCAGCATGTTATGTCATCATTCAGGTTCTCCTCAGACCTTTTAATGTGGCTGTGGATTCGGTTTTGTTTTGACAAAAGGTGGTTGACTGGAGCTCTGTTTGGAGGAGTAGTTGGTATTTGTCAGATTTCAGAGAGATTTTAAAAAGGTTGGCACTGGAATCAGCAAACTGTTGTGTATCCAGGGTTTAGCAGAATTATCCAATGATGATGTTCTTGTCTGGTGATTGTAGGGTTGCCATGTTGACTTATTCTGTCTTTAACATAATTGATTTCACTACAGAAAGCCCAAAAACTTTGACACGATTCCTGTGCAAGATTTCCTTCTGCAGGTGGCAGTAATGTTAGGGTTTACTGAGGGCTGCACGATATGAAAAAAAAAATCACATTGCGATTATTTATGCAGATATTGCGATATGAGTCACGATTTCAGCTGGAACGGTTATTTTTGCATTTCATTCTCACAAAAAAAAAAACTAAACAAAAATTATGACAAAATGCAGTTTAGCCTTGTGGACAAATGTCACTGTGATCTCACGTTTTTGGCCATAACTCATGAATTTATACGCTAATTACAACACAATTTAACCCTAATGTCTAATAGGATGTCATCAGCTGTCATCACTCAAACCTCCCACAGTCGAGGAGTTCTAGTCGGTGGAGATGTGGTCTCCCTGGTCAGTCTAAGTTGCTGTGTCATGTCCATGTTTCACTTGCTGCATACCTTCCTTGGAAAGTCTGCATGTGTACAGTACATGTCAGCAGTAGATAGAAAGCTTCGCCCTCCACAGCATGACATCACCACCTTGGTATGAGCCTTTGCAGTTGTTGGGACACCAGGGTTTTCTCAGTTGTCTGTGTGTGTAAAGTCTAGATCAGATCAGTAATGATATTGTAACCTCCACAAAACCCAGTCATACAGAATTGATTCGGGCTATTTTAATTTGATCGGTTGACATTACAGAGAATGAATGAAAAATGTTGATAGTGGATTAATAATTAAGTCCTACTTTTCTCTTTTTTGTGTTATTGTCAAGTCATTTTCTGTAGGTTTTAGAGGTTAGCGCCTTATAAAGTGAAAGAATAATAAAAAAAAAACATTGACAGATAAATTGTTAAAGAAAATAATTGTTTGCTGCAGCCCTAACAATTTCCATATATGAATGTTAAGAAATTTTATCACACATCAATGGCAAATCAACTTGCGGTTGAATTTACTTCCACTTAGAGATCCACTTGTAGTTTCCCTGTCCAGTATTAGTTTGTCTTCTAACGAGGGACAGAGTCACACAAACGAGGCTACACACCATATCCTCACTGAGTACATGACCTCACGTATTATCTGAAGTCAGCAGCTTCTCTTCCATCTTCATTATCACTGCAGCCTTCTGCTCGTCCTCTCCGTCGCGTGTCTGCACCACTGTGGATATACATTCACGTAAACCTGGTGAAGATTTTACTTTTAGTAAAATGTTTTAGGGCGTTTGTCATCCCACAGTGCACATTTAGGTCATGACTTCAGTATAAAGAGGTTGTTTTTGGCACAGTCTCAAAAAATGTAAGGGAGTGGTCCTTGTGTGTTTCAGATGTTACACCTGCTTTACTTGTAATTGGTGACATATTAAAAATCCAAATTACAACTGGAAAGTTTGGGTCTGTGTATAAGAATTGTGATTCAGTGTTATCGTATTATAGTATGCTTGCAGTGAGATGTAATATCCCAGTTTATAATGAGCCTGTGTTGTAGGCTCTGCCTCCTGTTCTCATGTTCTGATGAGTGAGTTTGTTTTGGGAAAAATTCTGTCTGCTTTATTTATCCCAAAGAGTGCAGAGTAAACATCCCACATAAACATGGAGAGATTACCAAATCACTAGTTGTTCATTTCCTCTTTAAAAGTTTTCTCTTTAAAGTCAAACGATAGATCATTTTATAATTAAGTCTTTCGTTGGATACTCATTGTGGAAACTGGTGCAACTTGCCTGACTTGACGTCTGTCAGTGGGAATGAAATACAGGCGGTTACACATTGAAAAACCATCTGAGCTCCCAGTGTTGTGAGACCTTGGAGAGTCATACCAGCGCACATGTTGCAACACGCTTCATTGCACACTGTTCAACCTGCATGTGCTTAGAAACATACCTCAATATGTTATAACCTGAGTAATGAAAATACTAATGATTCTACACAAGTTACTGTATCAAAAGCATCATTTGTGTTTTGGGGCCTTTACATGTGAAGTTTAAAGGTATGTGAGCAATTTCCCCAGCTTAGTTTCAGGAAGTCGACAGATCAATTAACAGCTGCTCAGAAAGCTGAATGGAAGTTGCAGTGTCTTGTTTATGAATTTGTTCACTTGTTCACTGTAACTGGATTCAGACGTAATTTTCATATCCCGGTCGATAGGTGTGTTAAAGAGCAGAACAGATCTGTCACAGCATGTCTGTTTGTGGTGGCGTTTGAAAATCCTCCAGAAAATGAAAATCTCCCTCCAGTCATGTTTTAATTAAAGCAGCGTGTGTTGTCCTCTCAGTTTGGGAACCGTGACTTGCCTGTTGTTAAAGGACTCCAGCTGGAAACACTGAAACACCACTGATACCTGTCTTCCAGGGTCTTTCCAGATTATGAATGTGACCCTGGATTATAGTTTATGTGACAGTTCAACTAGAGAAGCTGTAGTTTAATTTAAATGTGTATCATACTTTATCTCAATTACTGTCTATAGTTTATATGGTTTAATCTTAATTTTCTGTTGTGATAAGGCAGTGAATTCTGTCTTTTCAGCCCTCAAAGCCCAGTGTTTGATTTCATTAACACTAAGCTGTTTGGTGGCTGTAGAATGAGTCTTTATTATTAACCATAAGGCGATTCAAAC